ACCTCGTTTTTGTTGGGGGTCAAATTTGCCCTTTTTTTTTTTTTTTTTTACTTCACCTCTCTTCGCGGGGATAAAGTGAGTGATGAAGCAACCTGAAATTAAATCTAAATATGGGTACAGTTTAATAGTCAGGTCATAAGGCCCTGACCTCCGGTTTGGAGAAAATTAACCAGCTCCAAGCTCACCTTCTGTTCCTGACAGAGTTCTTCCTCCATGAGGGATTCAGTGTACACAAATGCTCATGAACACAAGCATGTTCCAGGCTGCTAAACTCGCATGTAGCCAGGCAGGACCATTTCGGGGGGAGTTTGTGGGGGTCGATGTCAACCCTCCAAAGGGGACAAAGAGGAGGTTCTGCTCCAGCTCTTCCAATGTAAACACCATACCAGCAGCAACATGGGATGCATGAGCACCCATCGAGGATATGGCTTGGAATTAGGAGAACATAAACGCCACCCACTCCCCCAGCACTACCTCAAAAGTGTGGACCCCTATCATCATCCCTTTTAACACACACACACACACACACACACATACACACACACACACAATCACACACCAAACCATCCACAAGAAAAATACTATTCATATTACACAATATAAAACAATGATATGTTTGTACTCTTGTAACTTGTGGAACGCCTGCAAATTTGAACTTCCATTCTGCGACCCACCCAAAATGCCTCTGTGACCCATGTTTGGGTTCTGACCCACCAGTTGAGAATCGCTGGTCTCGACAATAAAAGTATTCTCAGTGATGGACATAATCTTTTACAAATGCATTCATCCACGTAGTGCTGCATATGAATGCATGTGGGGCATGCGGCGAACATGCCACAAAATACAAATACTCCTGTAAACAGCCTTTACCTGGTTCTTGCGGTAGTCCTCTTGGGAATGTCGCAGAACGCGGTAGCAGAGTCGGAACATGTACTGGTATGGAGAGTTCTTCTGGTCAGCCAACTCCTCCAGACGGAGCAGAGGTCCTTCCCCTCCGCTACGGTCCTTGAAAGGTACTTTAAGGATGCCAAATATCTGAAGTAAAAGGAATAGCATGTCAATAAGTTCATGAGAGGTTCAAAGAACAATAAATATGATGTAAACAGAAAGTGAAAAGTAAGAGGCCGATTTACTAAAGGTTTGCATGTGCAAAGATGGGTGCAAAGTTGATTGCTCACATGAACAGAAGTAGAAGCTATCTACTCACCAGGCACACCAGGAGTGTGTCTGGGTAAAATTACAGCACAGTCCATTTTGCACATCTGGGAGTAGATTGATTTAGCATGTGGAATGTGAATTGTCAACCTGGGAGATGAATTATAGTGGTTGATTTTGGGTCTTCATTAAAAACTGTCTCAAAGGTAGGTGCAAAACAATGACAATGGTAATTGGGGGGAGGAGGAGACATTGGCAAAATAAGAGACAACACAGAGAATGGATTTTTATGGCTCCTTTAAACATTTTTAAAATGTCAGAAATAAAAATGACCAACCCTCTAACGGAGGGGTACCCAATACGTCGAATCGACTCGTAGCTCACGGTCTGGTCCCAATCGATCGTGAGGAGTGTAGAGGGAAAAAAAAAAACAAACCCCAAAACATTTGTGTTTCTGTGTGCGTGTTATTAATATGATATATTTTTGTGTTAGTGCACACTGTACCCTGAGCATCCTATCATTTTTCCTCTAACAAAAAATATTTAAACAATAAAATGAAATAAAAAAGCAGGTCACCTTTAACCTACGGTGGCGCGTGATCTGTGTAATGTTATTGAAGAATGTCCACTCAGAGAGTTGTGCTTAACAGAGGTTCTTTACTAGTTCTCATACTAGAGAGTCTTTACTTGTCGCTCAGGAACAGTGCAGGCCAGTATAACAGTAACGAAGACATGTTCTTCACATGCACGAGGTCGGTTGCTATGGTAACCTGACAGCAGCTTTTTACGGCATGTCGAACTGCTGTCGTAAAGTTCAATGCATATAGTCCTTATATGACAATCTGCATGACCGGAAATTGTTAGCAGTCAGCAGTCTGCAATTGCAGCATGCATTCAGAGCTGTTGCGCTATATCTTTTATTGTTTTTATTATTCTCATTCGAGGTTTGTTTCAGGTATACTTCCCCGAGGGCACTGGCAAAGAATGGGAATCTGGAATGCCAGCAGAAGCATTTTAAAACGGCACACGTGAGCTACGGTCGTTAACACGCTGCAAAAGTGCGTCCCATACCTCCGTGTCAAGTCTCTACTAAGGTAGGCAGTGATTTGTTTTTCACAAACTCACAAACCCTTGTGTCTACTTTATTTTTCTGTTTCGTTCATCTTAGGGCCCGTAATGGGTACTGCTCATTAGGGTCTGCGCATGTAAGTGTGTGCATATGCGCGCGTCTGCAGTAACGGGTCAATCGTGGGAGGTTGGTTGATCAAAAAGTATATGTTTGGTCAAAAAAGGTTGGGCACCCCTGGTCTAAGAGCTTTTTGTTTTTTTGATCAAATTTGCAATTTCATACCATGCGATCACGTGATTGTCAAAACTTTTTTTCCTTTTATGCAGCACTCCTGACTGAGCCAGAATCTGTTGTATGAACTCTCTCACACATTAACATAGTGTCCCTCCACTCTCCCCAAGCTCAGCAATCAGAATGCAGTTCCTCTCCTCCATGTAACTTACCCTCTGTGGCGACAAATGAGATTTGTCGCCATTTTCTTAAAAGCTCACAGCGCCTTAAAATCCGATGCGCCTTGTGTATGGTCATTACGGTACTATGTCAACCCCAAAATGGCCCCTTGCTTTCGACATGCTTGCAATGCAGAGTTCAAACTTAAGGCGATCGGTTTTGCAGTCGAACACGGACATAGAGCAGCGGCAAGAAAGTTCAATGTTCACGAGTCAATGTTATAACTTGATGTTGGTTCAGTGAACTGTGTCGCTGCTTTATTAAATAAGTTTTAATGACATCTGATCGTCGCTATATAAATCAGGGTGTAGTGTAGTGTAATGTTCTGTTGGCATTTCTTTCAGCGTAGCTCCATCTGGTGGATGCATTGTAGATTGCATCAAATAATGCGGTGCGTCCAATATATGAAAAAAAATTACAAAACAGGCCCTTCACTGAAGGTGCGCCTCATAATCCAGTGCGCCTTTTAGTGTGGAAAATACTTAACTCAACTCAACTGTATTTATAGAGCACTTTCAAACTGCCATCGCTGCACACAAAGTGCTGTACATGGAGCAACTAAAATATACAACAGTAAAGCAAAGCAACAAATCAGTAACAAAGACGGTAGAGAGCACCAAGCAGGATAATGAAGATCATAATTTGGGTCATGCTGAGTCAAATGCCAAAGAATACAAGTGAGTTTTGAGGCGGGTTTTAAAGATGGGCAGCGAGGAGGCTTGCCGAATATTCAGTGGGAGGTCATTTCAGAGAGAGGGACAAGCAACAGAAAAGGCTCCATCCCCTCTGAGCCTCAGTTTAGTTCTTGGTACTTCTAATAATGTCTGGTCCGCAGATCTGAGGCGCCGGGCAGGTGTTTAGGGGCGGATGAGCTCAGAGAGGTAAGGTGGCACAAGGTCATTTAGAGATTTGAAAACAATAGGATCTTGAAAATAACTCTAAAATGTATAGGGAGCCAGTGAAGGGATGCCAGAGTAGGAGTTATGTGCTCCCTCTTACAAGTACCAGTCAAGAGGCGAGCAGCAGCAATCTGGACCATCTGGAGGCGCTTGATGGAGGATTTGCTGACTCCAAAGTAAAATACGGTACTGGTAAGCACTATTATCACGGCTGACAAGAGACACCGACAAAGAGAGAGCACAAGAAACCAATGCTCATCACTAAGATCATAGTTTTGGTCGCCAGACACCAGAAAAGGTGGTGTCCAATACACTTTTCACAGAAATCCGGCTGGAACCGCACTTAAGTGGAGAGAAACCAGCTATGAACAGCAAATATTTGTAAATGTGAATGGTCATACTGAAGCTTGATTTGGGGAAAAAAAGAAATTGTGAATCTAATCAAAATCGCAATTTCTGTTCGAAAAATCACAATTTCAATATTTTCTTGAAAGCAATTTTGGAGGGGTCAAATCCTCCTGTATGTGAAAGAAAATTTCAATGAAGAATGTATAAACAAACTTTAAAAAAAAGGAAGCGGTCAGTAAATGTGAAGGATCCACTTGGACGTTGGGTCCAGCATAGATTTTGTTATCTGTGTGAGATATTCCTTACCTGCTTGAGGATGTTCTGCTCCCTCATTAGCTTCTGCCTCTCGCGGTTGGCTTTGGTCATGGTGACATCCAATACTGGCTGGCCGCTGTTGACGGCGTCTGCCACGAAAAAGACCACGTCCTCCAGTAGCTTGATAGCAAAGCTGTCAAAAAAAAAAAAAGGTGAGCATGTAGATCGAACATTCTCATGCACCATCCATGCCGCAAGAGTCTCACCGGCGGTCGTTTTGGCTGATGAAGCCCTTACTGAACTGGTCCACCACCGTGCTCAACATGGCGCTCGCGTCATTGGCAAAATCTAGATCCCGAATCTCCATCACGGGAACCGAGACGATGGCGAATGCCTCCTTGTCCTCTTTGGTGGGGCACGTTCCTAACTGTGAGGAGGACAATGTCAACCTTCTTCACCAAGGGGAGGCAAACGTTTGTGTTGAAGGGCTTCATTTGATTTCAACATGAAACAGACAGGTGCAAAATATGTAAAATAGTTCATTTTTACATTTGGATTGTCCTGTTGGGGGTCGCCAAAGCCCAGTATCTTTCTTCATCTTCGACATCCTCCACGTCAAGTCTTACCTCACTACATCTATCAACTACAGGTATATCTTGTGTCTTCCTCGAGCTCTCTTGCCTGGCAGCTGCATCCTCAACATCCATCTAACAATATTAGGGATGCACGACATGAGGAGCAGTTGTTTGGATAATGGATAGATGGATCAATGAATACCTAGCGGACAAATACCTGTAACTATCGGACCAATATGGGGTCAACAAAGATGTCATGTTCCACTCTGTTTTGTTTTTGTTTATGCTTCAGCACTAGCTGGAGTGTGGGACGTAACCCTTGAGCGGTGCACCTGTGGCTGGTCAAGTAGTCTGTATATGTAAGGATTCAAATTTATTGTCTCCTTTGTCGGATTATTGCTCTTTGTTCGCTGCTGTTGCCCAGGTGCTAATTTTCTGGACCTGTTGCTCTTGTTCCTTGTCGCTCTCCTTGTTGTAGTAGAATTTTGGTTTGTGAGTCTTTGTTAATTAGTTGAATATTTCCTTTGTTTCGTGTGATTGGACTAACCTCATTTCGTTTTGTGTATTTCTCTGTGATCAATCTTTCCTTGCAATTGGCAACCGCTTTCTGTTATCGTTTTGTTTTCTTGGCTTTTTGTCGCCAGCGATTTTTGTTGACTACTTGGTCGGTCTCTCGCTTTTCTTTACTTTAAACCTAATTTGTTATCACCAATTATCTGAGTCTGCATTTGTCGGATCCACCCTCCATGCGGTCTGAGGTCAGATCCTTGTCAGATGTCACATTCATCAGTCAGATATCAACAAAACTGGACCGATAACAAGAGCCGCCTCAAATACTGTACACCAACATTGGTCTGGTTACTGGTACTTTCTGTTGCATACAAATTCTCAATTCCAATTAAAAAGAAACACAAAACTGCTGAACTGCAGACCAAAATTAGGTGCAAGAATCTTTTTGTGCAAATTTTCACAAAAATCAACTCAAAGATTTTAATACACTACCATATTTCTATATTGCATTTGTTCTCATCCCCAAATTTATAGGCTGGCTCACTCACCTATGTGAACACAGTGCAGTAAAGTTGGTCCCTGATGCATCCCTTCGTAAAGGTGAGTCCATCACAACAACCATTTGTCCAATTGCATGTTTGTAACACTGTTAAGCGTTGAATACATCTTTTTTTTTCTTTTTTTAAGACCGATAATTATCAACCCGTTCTTGGGAATAATTGATATCACTTGTCCGACATCAGTAAATTAGGCCAATATTGAAAACGGTGTCAAATAACCAGATGTCTGGTTATTGCTACTTTAAGAATCGAAGCCTCTTTATGACATAGTAGTTAATATGGAGTTGCCGTGTACGACTTCAGAAGGAACAGTGATTCATTTGTGAATACCGCTTGAGTTTTCCCCAGAGCAGTTTATTTGAAACAGGGCTCCAGGCCGCTCCCAAATTTCAAAATGTGGCCTCTGGAAAAAAGTATCGGAAGGGTTCCAGGGAGAGGGCATAGAGCTTCCCAGTGTAAAACACAGCCATACACCTCGATGCACCCAAAAGGAGCACAAAAGCCACTGTTGATATTCAGAACACCCTTAATGTCCCCATACAACACCTGAATTTTAGTAATGAGACCGGTGCTGAACCCAAACCCCGCCATGGTTTCCCAGCTGCAGTTCAGTGGAAAGCCAACAAGCAAACAGAAGGTGGTTCAAATCCCGGCTCCGACTGTCCATTGTCACAGTGTCTTTGGGAGAGACACTGAACCCCAATTTGTTCCCTTTGAGCCTGGCAGCACGATGCAAGGCAGCAGCTGCCTGTTGATGTGTGAACGTGTGCATGAATGGGCCTCTGGGCACCATGATGGTGTGGATAAAATGTTATGTCAGTGGACAATTTATCATTTTCCTATTCATGATCTAATGGGACTAAGCCAGTGTTAAAACCCAGTAAAAGTGAAACATTCAAGGCATCTCAAATTCGATAAATGTTTTCCACCATTGACCTGGTGGGGATAGTATGTCTAGTCCCAATGAATAACTCATTTCAGAGCTCAATTCTCGCGGATGATCAAGGTCTCGAGAGGATCTCAAGTCCATGCAGCAAAGCACACGGGGGATAAACAAGTCTTTTAACATTAGGAGTTGAATTTTATACCTGTAGGCAGTCGTTCTAAATTAATTCCAAGCCTCGTATTATGTCAAACTGTGACAGCTGGAAATGAACTCCTATTACTAAAGACTCTAAGACTGAAATTAACTCCAGCAAATAAAATGTATGTGATATTTTTCTGGCGACACAACATATTTCCTTCTTGCTTTATCTACGTGCTTGCCTTGAATCTGTTCAGCTGTCAAGAAAAGAGTGACGGACCAACCATGAGTCTGATGGGTCTCTCCTCGTCAACATCTATGGGGACATTTGTGCTCTGGATCCACGTGTTGGTGCAGAGATGCCTCAGGCGGACATACGAGTTCCTGGAAGTGGGCACTCATTTTACTGTCTCCATTAAAAGCGCTGGTGTTTTACTCTCAAAGTCAGGCAGGATATGGCTGGTACCGCGGAACGAAGGAGTCGGTCTTCTGTAAAGTGGTGGGATCCAGCTCAAAGAGCGAGGCAATGTCATTGCCATGTGTCATGGCCACCAGCTTATACTTGATCCTCTCACCGTGCAAACGCTTGCTGTTGCGACTGCTTTCCATCTGCACAAAGGCACAAAGGTAGGCTGAGGGTCCTTCAAGAGTCCACTATGTCTCCAACTCACCAAGGAGGACATCTCCGCACTGTCACCTCGGTAACTGGGATTCTCCTGTATGGACAAGAGAAAGAAAAAAAAAAAGGTAAATCTTTGACATTGTGTTGACTTCTGTCAATTTTTTTCTCGAATATTTATTCATTTATATATATATATATATATATATATATAGAGAGAGAGAGAGAGAGAGAGAGAGAGAGAGAGAGAGAGAGAGAGATAGATATACAGATAGAGTGAGTTGAAGCATTTCATTGGCTCTGTTCTTCATTTGTACTTTCGAGATGTAAAACATCTGGCATAGTTAACCACGTGAAGGGCAGTCTGCAATTGTGTGTTTCCATTTGTGTATTGTGCATTATTACAATGCAATTGATTCCATGTTAATTCTCCATTCCTTCCATTTTCTGCACCACTTATTCTCATGATGGTTTCAGGCAAGATGGGAGTTTTCAGTTTTACCCAAAGGTATTAAGTTTTATATTCCATTTAAAATTTTGAGATTGATGTTTGTAAGAATTTGCCAATGTGAATAAAATGTGTTCCAAATCATTCTAAGTTTTTTTAAACACAAGACACCACCTGCTGACGAAAGTGAGGAGTGACAATTACGTAGTCATCATTTACAGGCAGGTGAAAATTCAATTGGGATGATGTACAATTATGCAGGAATACTCTTCAGCATCCACGTTGGTTAAGTATTTGTGGATAAAGTCAGCAACCAAGAAAGAATGTTTATTTACACCAATAATGCTTTGACAAATAAACATTTTATATTGTAGATCAAATATGTTGTCCTTATACAGGAAGAAAAACAGCAGATAAAAAAATGCTTTTAATTATGATGGCTATACATTATTCGTCATCAAAAGTGTTTCAATTATCCATTGAAAGTGAAGTGATAAAAGAACTGACAATGGTCAAATTCAGGCTTCAATAAATGTTACTTCTCACACCAGCTGAGGAGCCATAATATACTTTGGCCCAAACACCAAGCAAAACATAGATGGCTGTAATTTATATTTACATTTGAATATAAAATAATAGAATATAAATACCATTCTAATATGATTGGTGTTCGAAAGGAAAACTACTTTCACCAACAGTTACATGTCTCTAAATTCCTTCGGGAGGCAGGAGCAGAGAAAATGATTTCGTATAACGCAACAGGGTTTTTTTTTCGTCGTATGGGGAGCAGGAGAATGGGAATGGTGTTAATGTTAATGTTAATTTTTTCACATTAGGGGGTGTTTTCGCCCATGGAGGTTTCGTTCTAGAGGAGTTT